CAGCACACACTGCACAGCACACATGGCACAGCACACACAGTGCACACTGCACAGCGCACACTGCACATCACACACGGCACAGCACACACTGCACAGCACACATGGCACAGCACACACAGTGCACACTGCACAGCGTACACTGCACATCACACACGGCACAGCACACACACTGCACAGCACACACTGCACAGTACAGACACTGCACAGTGTTCACACTTCTCACTCATCCTACTACAAATTCTGTTTTTCTCTCACACACATATTCATGTCAAGCCATGCAGTCACAGACCAAGAGCAAAAAATCCACGTGGTCAGTTCCTAGAGACAGATTCTACAGTCAGGACCCAGGATCCCCCGCCAGACCCCCACTGAGCTAAGTGGCCTCTCCTTGCTTAGCAAGGTCCTCAGCTCCCCCAACTGAGCACACTCCAGGGTCAAGAGAGGAAAAGCCTGTTCCATACTAGAAAGCACCAGTCAGTTCTGGGCTACAGCAGGAACTGCACAGCCTCTTTGCTTCTCCATTACCAACAAAGAAACCTCTGGAGTCACAGGAAAGGGGTAAAGGACCAGAGAGCTGAGGAGGCAGCAACAGGGCTGAGATGGATGAAGACAGGGACAGGAGAAAGAGGGAAATTTAGAGAAAATGAAAAGGGACAGTTGGTGATGCTGTTGTAAGGGGAGGGGTAAAAATAGGATGCTGGATGAAGTGGAGAGGGAGAGCTAGATGCAGGTGCTTGGGAGAAGACAAGATGCTAAGCCTTAGGGTGAGTGTCCCTGCCTTCACTGAAAGGTTATTTGGGGACAAGGAGGAAAAAGTCAGAATCCCGAGGCTAAAATGGGGTGGGGGTAAAATTGGGGAGAGGGGCTGATCGAGATTCAGAATGCTTGGCTTCCAAAGGAAGCTTCCACACTCCCACCCATCTGCAGGGAGCAGAGGTGGCCCTCAGGATCTAGGAGACAGATGAGGGACCACTCAGTGCTCAATCCATTGACTGACTGAGCCCCACATGCTAGGGACCAGTATGCCCAGGATCAGTATGGTATCTTTCTTTATTGAGGGCAGGAAGAGAGGACACTTAGTTAGGGGTTTGTTCGGAGCCTCGGAGTAGAGGAAATGGTTGTTAAAATACAACGGATGGGGAGATGGATGCCAGCAAGATGCCTTACTTGGCAGGGGGATGCTGAGTGCAAGGCTAACTTGGGTTGCATGGTGAAAGAATGTGGAGGAGAAAGGAGAGATGGGAAGGAAGGAAATGGAGGCGAGAAGAAAGAGAAAATGAGGAAAGAGCCAACCTAAAGATGTAAGAAAAAACATAAGGGGATTAAGGTGTGCACCACCACCACCCAGTTCACTTGTTCTTTTAGAGGATGCAGGTTCAATTTCCAGCACCCACATGGCAGTTC